CAGTAACTACTCTCTCTCTCTCTCTCTCTCTCTCTCTCTCTGTTTGCCTTTAATGTCCCCTTGTTCTGATATTTTGTCCTGATGACTCAGATGCCTTTCGCCTTATCAATGTATGAACTCTGCTTTCCCTCAACACTAACCATCCATAATTAAATCAGCCTGGTCCTGCAAATCCATCTCTATTGACTTTAACGGTACGTCGGCCCCATCTTCCGCGCTGGGAGTGCTAGCATATGGAGATATGTAGTTTGGATTGGCGGGGAGGAATGGCGACAAGTAAGTAATGCTCGAAAGGAATGGCGAGATGTGAGTGCCGTTCGTACTGATCGCAGCAGAAGCATCACTGGCTTTATCATCACCAAGACCCGAATCGCTCAATCGCATCGAGCTTCCACTGTCCATAACTTTGCCCTCGTCTCCGTTCGCGCCGTCATTACTTACCTCCGTACCGCCAATCTTCTCCTTTTCAACAGCACCTCCAACTCTTCTCTCACTTCTCCTCACAAATCCATCACTGACTCTTGACTTGAAACCTCCACGTTTCTTCCCATTTTTCCCACCATTTTCCTCCCCACTCAAGCTTCCATTCACCCCATCAACATCCATACCATCATTCTCCATATCGTCCTCGACATCATACACAATCTTTCTCTCGGGTCTCCTCACAAACCCATTTGTGTTCCCCGTCGAATCTCTCCGCGGTCTAGTCTTCAAGTCTGCTTGTTGCTGGTGTTTGCCTCCGCGACCGTCGGGGCGGCGTATGGGGAGGTAGAAGGTGTGGATTAGGTTAAATATGCTACCGTACTTTTGAACTGGATTTGGGTTAGATGAAGACTGGATGTGAAGTCGGACTCTTGGGGAAAGTGGGTGGTGGGTGGTGGAGGAATGAAATAATGGGAGTGATTGGGGGCATTGTTACAAAGGAAAGGGAATGATACGTACTAGTACCCCAAAGGAAGAATTTCACAACTTGTTTCTCGTCCATTTTGATGAATTTCTCGAATCGGGGAAGAGGTGTGGGGTCTGTTCCGTCGACTATTATTTCGCACCATTAGCTCTTATGTCAAGCTCGCTTTTTGATCTAGGAAGCAGGATAGAAAAAAAGAGGACATTTGCGACAGAAGTGCAACGAATGATTGGATGAATTGGCGGACATACCAATAGCATTATAACACCTAACAACCTCATTGATGATTTCGATATCTTCGGGTCTGAGAGAACGGTGCCCGTTTCTGGCTTCTGTGCTGTGTTAGATGGATAATCTTTATATCAGAAATATCAGAACGTACTAGTCTTCAATGCGCGCCATTGGGCGTCGTTGTAACGAACTATTGGTGCGAACATTCGTGCCATGATTAGATCGTAGTAGTAAAGTTGAAGATGTTGAGGAGGTTCTTGTAAAATCTTCGAAGGTGTGGTTGTGGAAAGTTTGGGGTTGTTGTTATGGGAAATTTGACCTTGTTATTGGAGATAGAATTGGGAAACTTTTGAAGTTATGGATGTATGTAAGTTCGCAAGTTGAGAAGATGTCGGAAAGCTGAGTTGAGTCTCTTAAGTAGGTAGGCTGCGTGGTTTTCCTCTTCTTCGCTTAACATCAACATGGATACGGCGGTTGAAGTTGAAATCGTACTCTACTCGCAAATTTGAACCTTCGGATGAAAATCTCGACTTCTTCATCTTATCGCCGCTAAATATCCCGTTCGTTTGATCGCGTACGGTCCACATGGGGAAAACGAGAGCCACGAAGAGAATTTCGAGAGCAAGTACGCTCTCGCATCAGCACATAGCGGCACGTCAAGGAATCTCTTGCAGATAAACCCAGATCCAACAATCGATGTCAGAAATCTCGAGACCGTAGACACAACACATTTTAACGCAGCCAACTCCCCAAAATCACGGAGGATTACTCTGAACGTAATCGGGTAGTGAATTGCAGGTGGTGGGCCATAGGTATTGTATTACGAGTTGACTTGATTGGCACTACTTCCCCACACAAACAGTGTGCCGTGTTAGATACGTCGCGTTGCGGGAGTTCGAGGTCGTGGAGGAGGCTAGGTGGTGCTTCATGCGATCTCGGTTGGCATTTCGCCGAAAATTTTAAGAGATGCATTCAGACACAAGAAAACCATTGTGTATAATTTGTGATGTCGATGAAGATATAAAGGGAAATTCCTAGTTGCTGATCAGGATGGTAAGTAATGAAATTCAAGGGTGCATATCGCGAGAGCGAGCTATCTCCCTGGTGTAGGGTCAAGTAGCCATGGTTTAATACTGCCGTGTAGGACTGAGGTTTGAGGTCTTAGAAGTAGGCGGAACCTTGAAGGTCTTTATCATCGGAAGTAGCATTATCTGTAGACCCTTGCATACTTTGATAGCAATGGGAGGGCTGAATAACTTGCTGGAAAAGTATATTGATGATGATCTACGTCGAGGAAGGCGCGTAGTCCCGTGACCCGATAGGCCTGAGAAACTTCAAGGCAATTTGTCTAGTACATGACATGAATCGTCATATGTCGCACGACGAGTCACTTTGTATGATTTTCAAGAAATACCCGGTGTCATAAGTCTAAACATGACGCTGCGGCTGTCTAAGACTAAATAAGAATGGCAAGCCAGCTTCAGGAAAGTTAAAAGCCAACTATTCTATTGATAGACATTGAATTGCTACTTCCGAAGTAGCTTGAGATAATTCTCATTTATACTGCGAGAGAATTGTTCCCAAAATAACCTTCCCTGCTTCTCAAGCTTCCAAACAACAGATCTTTTTATCAAAACTCACGCTCTCTATAGCATACCCAAAGTTTCAATTAAGTACACATTATCCACAAAGAACTCATTCATCCGTCAGGATGGATACAAGGACCAAGTTGAACTCACCCTTCTATAAGGAAGTGGTGGACGGCATAGAATACCTCGTCGTTCAAAAACATGTTTTGAGCGGCCCTAATCTTCATAGGTTTGAACAATTTCTTGTGTATTACTCCTTGTATAGTCAAACTCCAGGGGGTGAATCGCAAGTGATTGTCCACGTCTAAGGGAGTGATTACTCTGGAGCAGTGGTGTATTACGGTGATGTGAGTTTTACCTTCATTTTAGATTAGATATAGGTGACCAATGTATGTATGAGCAGGAAATCTTGAAGGGACTTAATCTTTTCATCCAAAACTATGAGCGCCGTATCCGAATTGAGACGTATATCAAAGATGGGCTTAGAAAGGATCAATTGATCGACCCCAATGGACCCACGGTAGACAAACTATCAGAATCGTCCATAGTTGGTATGTCCCCCGACCAATTCTATAATCAAATCTTTAGCTAACCCACTGGTAGATAGGATGCGAGTCGAAGCACCTCCTCGCAGAGCCTGGGTAGAGCCACCGGTAGTAAACGAACCTTTGAATCGTTCTGCCCTTATACGCGCAACAAAGGCAGCAAAGACAGCAAAGGCCAAGCCTACTCAACCATCTAGTCATGTCGAGGCTGATGTAAGTTCACTGACATTGTCTCGTCACTTTTTTAGACTATCTACCAATATCTCTCACAGCGCAAGGAGCGACACAATCAGTGTCACTGAAAGAGCCAAAAGAGCCGGGCGGGCAAAGCAAGTCGCAGGGCTAGGAACGATACCGGACATAGTTGAGAATGTAGTTTAAAAATTGAAGGCGCTTGAGATGAATTGTCATTTGGGAACCATTGGAATTTCTAAAACAAAAATTAATTACATGTTTTTTTTTTTGGAAAAGGAGTTCGGTGTACTTTATCTTTAACATAAGCTTGTATCATAAGCTGAGGCATGCTATATATAAGAGTTTGTATGTACTATAGGACTTTTCATATGTGTAGTAGCGTCAACACTTACCTGTTGATATGCAAGCAGGAGTGATGCAGTTGGGATAACCCGCTTACTATCCTGTGACAGAAGCCATTGTCTCTCGTGGTCTGTACCTTCCCAGCTAGAAGTACTAACATAAAATATCCACAAAACATAGTGACAGATCACCACTCCGGGCTTCAGGTCATAGCTGCAATGAAGGTAATGATTTTGAACTCTGGAAAGCTCATCAGCTTAAGATGGAGTATCCAGAAGTATAGCTCTATCATCCAAGTTTCAGTATGTAATTTATCACATGATCCTAATCCTTAGCTGTGGTCCATAAATACAAACGCTTAAGCATGTAGCTGATACATAAGGATTCGAACATTCTTTTATACACTTTTCTCATTACGACAAAGATATCTTACTGTTCGGAAAATAATGAGATAATGCTGACCCAATCGGAAGTTACAATGGAGATAAAAGAAATTGGACAGTCTGCGTTGTTCTTGCCATGCTCATTTCATCTCTGTAAACCCTTCAATTTAGACTTCAGATCAGCGGACCTCACAATCAGCACTTATCATTTTATTGTTCACACATAATATCAAGTTGATCTGTGAAACATTACTCCGTATTTGTTTCGTTTTTCTCCCATTTTCTTCTTTACAATTTCTTTCGAAAACTTACATCTCTACATCCTCCCAAAGTACAAGCAGGATCAACCCCAATATAAACACCAAAGAAATGCGCTACACTAAGCTCAGCTGTACATATTTATTCTACATCATCACGAAATTGCTACTCAAACACCGCAGGAAGAAAATTCAAGAGATATAATTTCAGTGCACCCTTTGGCAACTCCCAAGTTTCTCCCTTTCGTCTCAAATATGCATCAATCATACTCCCCTACACGAGCTGAACCCCCAGTCAAATGTTCCCTGCCACCCGCTCTAATTGCTTTCATTAATCCCTAGATCAAGTTCCCTGGTTCCTGTCCCATCGATCTCATATGCGGCGTGCTCATGTGAACTGGAGGAATCTCGACAATCTTCCTGCACATTGGACAAGTCATGTTGGCCGAAACCTTCTCCAACCATCTCATGATGCATGCTTTACCCAATATATGACCACAAACAGGGACTTTGACAGGTTGATGTGTTTCCAAATCATATGGGTCTTGACAAATCGCACATGAATCATTCTCCATATCAGCTGTGGGAACGAGAGCCCGCTCAATTGCAGTTTCCCTAGCGATGTCCTCAAAAGCAAGATTTGGAACATCAATGAGGAACATCCTTCCGTAAACATGGACCCGGCGGTGAGGATAATCATGTGGGAGATACTGAGGGTGGATCAGCCTGATACCCCCAATATGCTGTAAGTATGGGGTTAGGCCTTCGGGTAACTCAGGTAGAGGCTCTGGGAGATTAGGTGAAGACCGATCATTGGCGTAGACATCTTCGAAATCTGGATTGTCGGGTCTTGTGTCGAAACGAGCATCCTCTGTGACTTCAGTATTGCTATGATGTTCATAATACCTTGACTGTTGGATAGTGAAGGATAATGTGTCAGTTTCCCCGGATATGCGCTCGTCAGATGAAACAGCGTGACCAGAAGATGCAAGTGTTTCTTCTGGTATTTCTTCCAAACAAGATTCTACATTGTCGATGTTATTGCGCTCGTCAGTGTCTCGGTGTCCGCTAATAGCAAGAGCTCTGAAACTCTCGCGAATGCGATTGAGTAATGGCATAATGACGAGTGTTCTTTAGTAGTGTTAGGAAGAACAAAATAAAGATATTATCGATGAGCATTTATCTTGCACTGAGATGATACAGAAGCTATTGATAGAGAAGTATTTTCGCTTAAAATAAAACTTATTGGTGTAATCGGAATGTAGTTGTTAATGCTCAGTGGTAGAGTATGTATCATAGATGATTGGTGGGTAGAGGATGAGATTCAACTATTGTAAGATGTAAGTAGATACAATACCATTTTTGCTATATAGCCAGTGCTTTTATGTGAACAACGAATATCTTCAGCGCGATTTATACGGCATACTGTATACGACACCGTACCAGATATGAAATTTGACCCTCACAGATATCGCAATGAAACCAGTCATTCGGTAAGAGCTGATGCCGTACGTAGACTAAAAATCATCGTGCTGCAAAGTTTAATTCGGAGGATCTGATTAAGATCTGCAAGCATTATTACATATTATCATTAGTGTATGGACACTTTCCGATTTATCTCAACTCAATCAACCCTTCTTCAATAACCCTTTCATTGGTCCACAGCATTCTGGCTCCAGAGCCCACCGAAGAGATACGGCAAAAGGTCACCAGGTAACTGACAGTGGGGTTGGAGGCGATGGAGGCGCTCTTGAGAAATTATAATTGCTTTGTCACGGAATGAGGCGGATATTCGTAATAGCTCTATGGCGCATGTGCGTAATCTGCATATGATTATAGCCAAATGATATGTGGAAAACAGTAAAAATCTAGCTATGTATCAAGTAAAACACTGTGAAGGTTCTTGGGTCATGATACCAAATAATTTCTCATAAAACGGAAAGGCTTCTTTGATTTACCAATCAGGCTACTTTCACTAACTAGCTAATAATAATTGACTTGAACTCTACGAATCCATTGCTTTTCCAGATTAATTGGACTGTCAAACCATAGCTTGGCCAGTATAGCTCTAAGGTCACTCTTTACAACTAAAGATATAGTATGAAAAATTATGATACTCTGCTTTTTCTCTGGCCAAATGAAGGGCTGGCTGGTCGAATGATCAGAATTTTTGTAAAATCTCTTGTTTCGAGGTCCTTACAAAAAGTCCTATGGTTTTTCAGCCAGTCAATTGTTTGGGTCATAGAAATATGTTTAATTATTCCTATATATTTGTCCTCCGCGACTCACGCTCGTGAAACCTAAAATCAGACTTCCCCTATCATAAGCGAGTGCAGTGAGTGCGAAAACCTTACACTTTACGGTGACCCCCAGAGATATCCCCCAATAAGAAAATAAAACGCCTCGGCCATTGTTCCTTCATGATATCGACATTTTTCAATCCATGCGTTTCTCTCTGACTCGCCTAAGTAGCTCTAGCCTTCTGCCTAGATACCTGAAAATTGCTCCTGGCCCCTCCCAATGTCTGAACTCAGAGCTTTCAAGACAATTCATGCTCCTTAATTTAAGTCACTAATCTACCCAGACCTGTAACTTATATCCAACGGGAAGCACCACTTCATCACGACACATTGGGCAAGTGTCATTGTCCTTTAACCAACAAGTGATACAATCTCGACCGAAAATATGTCCACACTTCGGCATCTTCGATGCTTCGTGAATAACATTGCTGGGAGTGGTGGTCGCAGCATATGGATCTCTACAAATGACGCACGCATCCCCATCCAGTGTTTCGGCGGCGACTGGTATAAGCAATTTACCGATAGATCTGATTCGTTCTTGGTAGCTGGTCATGACTTGGGCTGATATGAATTTCTCCCTTCCATCTGGATACCGAAGAAGTGTGCGTCGTGTTGCTCCATGTAACCGAGGATTGTCATGAAGTTCGCCAAGGGAAAGAATCGGAGCTTCATCTTCTTCTGTGGTAATGTATGTCTGGCTCAAATTCATAACATTTGGATCCACAAGCGTCAGGTTACCACTAAGCGAAAAGATCTCGAGATTTATATTAAGTGCCAACGAACTTGGCGGAGTGGTCACATTCGGCCCACTTGATTGTTGCGATAGTCTTGCGGCTTCGAGGTTATCGAAATGTTCTTCTGGGAGGTCTTGTGTGGGAAGTCGCAACCTAAGATAGTTACGTGCGCTCATTGCGTCAAGGGGTAAGAAGATTGTATGGGCTTTGTTGGAGTCTTGAAATTATGATAAGATTAAAAGCTTTCGCAGGTTTTTACTTGCAGAGGAAAGTTGTCGCAGAGGTAAACTTGTGGGGTCTTGGTACAGATTTTGATGTGCGTGGGGCTTTGCGAGCTTGTTTAATGAAAGTAGATGATGTTGTAAAGAACTAATAGGAAGATCAAAACTGATGGCTTCACGATACTTATAAAAAAAGCATCTCTACGATATCAATAAGGCGCCGTACTGTACCATAATCCAAGTACAAACTGTATAGCGTAAATTAATTCGCGGCATGGCCTCTAAATTAGCGAAAAAGGTAGCCGAAATATGATCGACCATGTTGCTGTATAGAGTCTCAAATCAATGCTATTGTTTGAATTAATCTGATTTGTATATATTTAGCTTTATATTCTAACCTTTGGATCAATAGCAGTGAAAATAGGATAAGTAGGATCGTGAGATAAGAGTTTTGTAATTTATGCATGAAACTATTGTATTAGTACTTAAGTATAAAGTGTCATAGATAGAGATGTAATGCTTCCCGGGCATTGGCCATCCAACCGAAAAAAGTTTTCTACTGAAGTATTATGTGATAATGCGTGTCGGTTTATATCCTGTATCGTATGTATCAATTGTCAGGATTATAAACCAGTGTTTCCTGGTCGCTAGGGGATAGATGAGGGGGTATGTGTAAGATACCATTCCCATCAGTTGCCTAATGCTATATACCCGGTATAAGCTTCAGGCTCTGTGAGTATCACCCATGATAGAATCAATTAATCTGTTAAGGAAAGTAGAGCATAAATGTTTTCACGTATAGTAGTAGTGCATATGGAAACGTGTGCAGATAAAGCGTCTAAATTGTTCGAGTCCCTACATTTATTTTGTTTTCTTATGATACTCCTTCTTGACTTAGTCTCACCTCGCTTTCAGCTCACCTCCTCAGTTTTGATCAGTCATCCTTTATACAGAGAGAATTAAGGGAGTCTAATGAAAATTATTGTGAAAAGGGCGTGGGCGCGGGAGTAGAACTTTTGGAAGGAGGTTAGACCGTTAGAGATTGGAGGTGGCTGGCTGAGAGTATTTTGGTATAGTTATGAGGTCATCAAAGGGTTACAAGCAATGGGAAAATGAATGACAAATACAATAAAGAAATCTGGGATTGACCTGCCATTTGGCGGACTGCATTTAAGCTGGTGTATTATGACTATGAATTAGATACCTAGTCGATTTCATCTATTTTCAGGTACTCATACTCATTCAACTAATTTCAAGCGTCAAATTAGACTGAGGTATTAGTTAAGATATCGACAGGTTATTTTACAAATCAAATTAGAAGTTTGATAACTCATTCATTTCACAACGATTTATGGGAGTCTTATGTTCAAATTATGTATTGGTGTCATTTGTTCTCTCCGAAGACATGCTTCGCTCAGCCTCCATTATTATGCAAAGCAAGAGACTTTCTGCCTGGTTGCTAGCGAAGTACGTAAGACCACCCTGCACGTGAAATTGGCGCCGCGACATATCTTCCTAAAAAGAAAATGCCAAAAAAGTAAGAAACATCAACCATAAACTAGATTGACAGGACACCGCATAACAATCCGCCTTCATCGGCCAACTCGCCAATCCGCCAATCCATCAGACCACCGGTCCACTCTATATCAGAAATTCCCCTGCTGTCGCTAAACCAGTCGTCGCTTGATCAACCAATCAAAAGCCAAGTAGGCGATCCACCCTGGTCGATTGGTTTTTGGCGACGTGCCACAAAACCAACTCAAATCTAGAAATAAAATGGTAATCTGAGAGTTGAATTGTTCTCCGAAAATCAATTGTAATGAAGCTGTAGTGGATATTCGTGAGAATATGCTGTACGCTGATGTCGATAACAATTTCAAATTTTCGCCATCGTCTTTCCTAAATCCTCTTTCAAACCACTCCCCCGCCGCACATCTCGATTCTTCGTAGACGAAAGTTTTCTTATGGAAGTCTGACCTTAGCCCGGCACATAGGGCAGGTATTCTTGTTCTTTAACCACCGTGTAATACAACATCTGCCGAAAACATGCGAGCAGCCTGGCATTGCACATGCGTCGTGGGCATCTCCAGTATCCGGGGTTGTGATATACTGCTCTTGGCAATGTGGGCACTGGTGCAATTCTTCGATCGGAGCTGGAGCCTCCAAAGCTGTAGCGTATTCCTCCTGGCAAATGGGGCAGGTGTCCGATTTTTCGGCAGATGCTGGGACAAGCATTATTTTGATCATTTCATGTCTGATATCGATGTTGTGTTGGTTTTGAAGTTCAGACTGCTCAAAAGCAAAGTAATCGCGACGAACCCGAGTTTCGGTCATCGTGCGACGAGTTTCTTCTTCATTGTTCAACATCTGGTTCACTCGTTCTGCAGGCCTCGCAGTTTCTTCGGTTTGTGATGCAAATGTTCTGCGCGGTCTGACACGGCCCACTGGAGAAAGTGGGAATTCTGCCTGAGACCTATTTCTGACTGTGTGTATTGTTCGTCGAATATTTTCTGGGTCTCGATGCACATTTGATGAGAGACGGAGAAAGGAGGGCAAATTACCCTGGTAATTGTATTCTGCGTGTCGGGAAGAAGACTCCGATCGCACTCCCTGTGAAAGTTCTCGCGGCGCCATAAAAGATCCTTGAGTTTCGTCATTCATGGTGGTTGGACGACTCTCGCGACTATATCTGGGGCGTCTGGCAGACAGTTCTGACTGAACTTCTTGTGAAAGCTCTTGTGACATGGAGGATCCTTGAGCTTCGTCGATCTGTGTGAGCTGTTCTTCGTTTTGCCGAAAGTTTCCCAAGTCTCGAGGTGCAATATATGATTGACGAGAAGGGGTGATTAACTGATTCTCGAGATCAAATCTGACACGTTGGGAGCGGAGTTCCGACCGAACAATTCGAAAAGGCTCTCCCGCCAAAGAAGAACCTTGAAATTCGTCATTCTGTGTTTGTGGTTCTGCGTTTCGTCGAAAGCTAACCTGGGTATGAGCTACGCTTGCTGATGAGGGAGTAATGGTGGCCAAATTATTCCCGTAATCAAATCTGGCGCGTCGAGCACGATTACCTAATCGAATTCTTAGAACACTCCGTTGTGGACGTTGAGCTTCGCCATTCTGTGTTTGATTTTGTTCGTTTTGTGGCCCAGAAAAGGAGCTTGAAGAAACTCTAATATTATCCGACATTGCGACGATGACAAAGTTTTTGTCTTGTTGAATAGATGTAATTGTATGAGGGTGGAGAGATTCTGAACTGTTGTGGTTTATGCAAGATCGGTGGTGAGTCTGTAAATGATGGAGGATGGAGGATTTCCACAACGCCTTTATCACTCCAAGTTTCAATACGGCATCAGTAGTATTGAGAAAATTCCTCGTAGAGTAGGATGCAGTACCGTACTACTTCTTACCATTATAAATCCCAACCGTATTTCCATTATAATGATACGATGATACGGCTGTCGGTCAGTATTCACTATATAGCAAAGATTGGACTTGTCTGATACGTTTTTATTCTCTGTTCCTATTCATTCTCTCAGAAGACTTCGCTCAACCACTCAGCTCTCTATATGAAAATGTAACAATTCCTCCAATCACACCAAAAGACCAGAAACCACCATTTAAAATACAAAATATCACCAAAGCTCGTAAAGTAAACGACACCCAGAATCATTTTTCCCGAATACAATGTCTCCCCGAGTCCTATTCACAGCTGTAACCAATCTCCCATCCACCCACTACCTCCTCTCCACTTCTCCTCCCCAAATGCCGCTTAGTCAATACCCAAATTCAATTCAGCGCGGCACATTGGGCAAGTGCTTTTGCTCTGTTGTACGAGCCAGATATTGATACAAGCCCTACCGAACACATGTCTACAATCTGGCAGCATACATGCTTGGTGGGAGATGCCATTCTCTGTATTTTCACCATAGATCTCTCGACAGATAGGACATGGCTCCGACTCTCTTTGCGTTTCATCAATGGGTACTGGGATTAAGAGTGCATCGACGGCTTCACTTCTATAATCATAGGCAAGAGCCGAAATGAAGTCTTCATTTGCGGCAAGATAATCACGCAATGCGTTTGAGAACCGAGTATAGTGCGACAAACTGGTACTTGCTTCTTCAAGCCCCTGTCTCGGAACAGCGAGTCTGATTCCATTACTAGTTTCCCAGTTGTGTGCAAATCTCAAGGCTACAAGAAAGCGTCGTCTACGATGACGCATAGCTTCTGCTTCTCGATTTGTAAGTTCTCTCTCCTCATCTTCCTCCTCATCTTCCCCCTCATCTTCCGCCTCATCTTCAAAGCCCCAAATTACTAGCGGATAATCTGTCATATGTTCTACGTCATCTCCCAGGCGTATCTCGGAAGTCACAGAGGAGTTTGATGTAGCAATTTGGGCATAGTAATCAGCATTGAGCTGGACTTCCCAAGCATGAACTTCCACAACAGTTTGCATTGATATTTCTCCTGGGGGTATAGCGACAGTAACTTGGTTTCCGATGCGAGATATGATTCTAATAGTCGATCCGCTCTCACTTTCTGATAACATGATTCCGATTTTTTTGTTGTCTAAAATTTAAGGGTAACGTAAGTTTCTGGCTGATGACTATGGAGAATTACCGATATTCTGGAATTGAGGTTTTGATGTATTTAGTTGCACGGAAGTTAAAGGTTGACGGAGGGAGCACAACTATATATAAGATGTTGAACAGCCTGAGTACGGCAACAATGAACTGAAACATGGTTCATTTACACTACGGCATATTCCATGCTACAGCTTCAACGTCTATAGTAAGACATGATCTATCATGGAAATGTATGTGAGTCGTCTTGTTGGTAACCATGGCTGTATACAGTGTACAGGTCGAATCAATATATGAAAAGTCACCCCAGGCAAATTCCATAAGGACTAACTAGGTCATTCATTACTTTACATAAAGTAATAGCCTAGTTAGGCCCCAAAAATTATAAATTATTGTATAATGATATAAGTATAGTGAAAGTTATTTATGACTCAAAGATTTAATGTACGAAATTGAAATATACAATAGTAAAGATTAATTATTGAAGCAACATCTAATAAATCAGAATGATCTAGGAAGACAAGATATAATAGAATATTATAACCCAACATCTAAATACAGACTAAATAACAAAAGCTAAGTAGTTGCAAAAGAATTAGATAGTTGTAAGATCTCACAAAAAAGTTATTTATAGTTCTTGGTTTAGTATAATCAATAGTTTGAGCCAGATAGGAAACTGATAGTTTAGGAGAGTATAGTTCAAATAGTAACTAGCGTTATATAAACTAACAGATTAGTTAAAGATAAAGATATACTAAACTGGTTAGCGAACTTATAATCTTGTAGTCAAAGTAGCAATTCAATCAATTTGATAATAAATAATATTAAGATTTCTTTTTGAACTATTTCAAAATTATTTATAAAAAAGATTCTTTTGTATTATAATCTAAATAATCTAAAATGATGAATATAAGATTGTAATATTGAAAGTATTTATAATCAAAAGGGTATAATCAGGACTGCAATTGTATACTTAGAATCTACAAGTGAAAAGCTATAAATATGGGCTTGGGGAAGTGATTATATATAGTTTTGGGACCCTCGTAGGCTAGGCCTAGAGGCAGATGGCCATCGTATGATGCGATGATCTGAAAGCCGAAGAGCGAAAGCCCTAGGCTACGAAAGAAAGATAAAATAAACGTAATCATCTAGGCCCATATAGTCTATATGCCAGTGAGCGGAACTGAACCATCTGTTCTATCACAGTATTCCTATTCGAAAACAAGAAACTCATAATTAGATAATATTGAAACATTATTACATTATTTCATATCATACAACAATTATATAATAATTCTTGATATTAAAGTCTATTTTAATACAAGATAATAGAATTTTTAATTTTATATATAAATCTACCCCATTAGTCTATTTATTATCAATATGAGATTATTTAATTAACTAATTGCTAATTTGGGTTTATTCAATTAAACGGACTGGTTGAATTATTCACTAGTTCAACTGGTTAATTATTGACTACAATAATCTCTCATTAAATGCATCTGCCGAACAGACTGTCTTGTTTGAAGCATAAAGAATAGTCATGACTAGAAAAGAATGCGCATGTCTTACAGATCTTTCTTATACCGGACTTGCAATCACTGTCTAATTCACAGGTCTTTATAAACTGATTTGCAGAGATAAATTGTGTTCTCTCTATCAAAGTAATTCCTTAAGTCCTTTAGTCAAGAATAATAACTCTGAAATTATTACTAAAAGCTTAATGACACCATAGTACACTACTGGTACCTGCGTTGCTGAACATGCTAATCCCAAACTCCATGACCTAAGTCCCCGTAACACAAGAGTGTAAAGCAACCGATTATCCTTGGCGAGGTGAATCGTAAACCCTAACCGATTTTCCTCCATATCGCAATTCGTGCAGATCGTGATTCGTCCATGTTGTTATTCCGCCTATCCATCATTTCCCTTTTGTGTATTCATTCATTTCATGTGAATCCACTGAAAGAATTCTTCGAAGGCGTCCCTAAGAGAGAATCAATCTTATAAATCCATCGCAAATCATCCTTCCCGCCCAAACTTCAACCTATCGCAATCGAATCCCCCCTCCCCCCATCAGTAGTAAGTCCATCAAAATCAATCCCATACACAGCTCCACCAACCCGTTCCTCCATCGCACTCTTCCTTCGTTCAGAATCCACCTTAACTACTTCACCTCACACGTGGGAAGTAAATTTTTACTCTGCACAATGGACAGGTACTGTGTTTCATTAACCACTCGGTAATGCATTTGCTTCCAAATATATGGGTACAAAGTGGCATGTGAACAGCTTCATGTAAATGACCAGCGTATGGTTCTAGGCAAAAGCACTCATCAATTTCGGAGTCATCAGTATCCCTAACTTGATCAAGTATCATAATGATGAAGGCTTCTCTAGCCTCTCCAGCTTCTCTGGCTTTTCTTGCTGCACGAATCTCACCACGTGATCGACGATGAAGACCGGAATCGCGATCTTCATGATGACCAGCAACTGGGCTAGACCTGGGGGCTGGTGCGCGCTCTGGATATGAGTCTGGAATCCTAAAGTTTCGAACATACCGTTCAATGCTGACGTTGTTTGGATGGATAGGATCGTTGATCTCATCCTCAATTAGAGAAAAAGGATCAAAAAACATGCCCGGCGACCGAGGTAGTCCGCGACCTCGAGCAGATTGAAGCTCTCGTCGTGGATAAGGAGTAATCGATTGGTTTGAGTGACTAATTACGTCAGAATAAGAGGGAGGGGAGCCAGATTGTCTAGGTCCAGCCGTGGGATCTGTGACATATTCTCTAACTGGAGAACCCGATTCGACATGCATGCTGCCAGTGCTGTCGGCATGGTTTGGTCGTCTTCTGAAAAGAGTAGTAGAACCAGTACCATTGCTCTGTGTACTTCGGCGATTAGTTGATGATCTGTCGACAGCATTGCTGTGTATGTGTCGACGATTAGTTGATGACATGGCGCCGGCTACTCGATCTGTACTAGCACCATCATTCTTTAAATTTGGGCGTCTAGTTGACGATCTGCCTCCTGCAGTGCTTGTTGGGACTTCTTGGAGAGGTTGACGCGATGAGGAAGGCCGATGCAAAATAGCAACTCGTAATGAAAGATTCTCAGCGATATTAGCAGAGTCTGGCTGCACTGAGGTCAATCTATCAGCAGTGGGAGTTCGTGATAACGGCAGTGTCGACTGTCTGGTTTGAAAAGGCACTAATGGTTGCAGCGACTCAGGTCGAGCAGCATTGGGGGTGGTTCGTTGCAAAGATAGTTGCTGCGAAGGGATAGGTACTCGTGATTGAAGCGAAGTAGATCGAGCAGAGCTTGCAACTTGTGGGTGAGAAGAATATGGTGGCGGAGCACTTACAACTCTTGATTGCGATGAAGCAGGTCTATTAGCAACCGGAATACTTGATATATACGCATGTTCCTCTGAGTAGATTGGTGCTCGTCGTTGTGGGTCGGAAACAACAGGAGTAGTAACTCTTGGTTGCAAGGAAGAGGACCGAACAGGAACTGGAATTCTCGATCGCGATGCGGGTGGCTCAGGATTACTGACAATTCTCGGTCCCAAGGGGGTGGATCGAGCAGTATCCGAGCCTCGCAACAAGCGATATGAAGACGTCTGCGGTGCAACCACTCTCGGTGACAAGGAGGAAGATTGAGCAGTGATGGAGCCTCGTGGATGATGTAGAGTTGAATTTTGAGTAGCTACTCGTGGCTCCACTGAAGCAGATTGAACAGGCATAGTTACCTGTGGTGACATGGAATAGGCCCGAAGAGTAATCGGAATATGGTCTGCGCTAGCATCGTTTGGGCCTGCCGAAGACTGCTGTTCAATCGGATCGTGCGATGCTTGATCTTCTTGGACACTTTGATCAAACTGTTTGGTAATCGTTGGGGCTCTGGCTGAGCGGCGATTCTTTCTGTTGATATGGCAGGCACCTTTGATGGAGCGAGCGATATGGCGAAGACGATTCATTATTTGAGGCATTATGAAGGAGGTATTCGTAACTGCTAAGTAAAAGGTTAAAGACGTGAATATTGAAATGCTATTCAGGTATCTAGAGATCAAAATGTATCTTAAGTAAATCCGAGGTCAGGTGAATAGAAGTGGTCGAGATGTTGGTGTATATATTAACCTGTACATGGAGGATGTAGGTTGTTTTGGAGAGGATCATGGTGTTTATATAGGGATTCTGATGGATGTTTACATGCACTAGCGAGAGAAGCCGTATTGACACCTTTTTCGATGAAAGTCTACAGCCATACAACCCACCAGCGTGGGTTAATACGGCACATAGTTACTCTACACGTGTATTGCCGTACTAACCTTTAGAGACTTCTCTAATTTGGCTATCTTAGCTCCCTTCATTTAATTATTGGTCACAACCGATATTTAGCTGTGAAGGGAGCAAGAATAACTCTATCACTAGTTATGCAATGAAAGGGATATGTATATTCCTCTTTGTACCTACGCCAATCCAAACTTGTGTATCTAAAGATCCAAATTACACCTGTAACAAGAAAATATGACATCTTAACTACCATAAAAGGAAGTTTAAACCGTGAAGTTATTTAGCATTGAATTAAGTGCGACCCACTTCAGTTGCCAGCCACAAACTAAACAGAGTCATCCTGTTTCTCAATCCATCTACCCTATCCAACAGCTACTGACGCATATTGTATCTCCCTATGTCTATCTCTTATCGTCAAGTACCGCATAATGGTAGTCTATGACCCTGTACAGCTCTTGATCATCTCTTCGCTCCACCGGCACATTCATCGTTAAATGAACCCGCTTCCTACACATTGGACAAGTAGGAGGATTAGTCTCATTCAGCCACTGCACGATACACCTTTTCCCGAAAATATGATAACATCCTGGCATCTTTACTGCCTCGTGTGAGTCCTTCCCAGTCTTCACTGTATTGTCTTCATAAAGATCTCCACAAAAGCAAGGCTCTAGCTCATCCACGCCGCTAATCACTGACCTGAGAATTTCTATAATCGCATATTCTTTCCCCATCGGCATCGGTATTGGCTCGGGTCTGAGCATTCCTTGTTGTTGGAGACCAGCAATGTCATCGTTGAAGTAGTCTTCTCGTACGAGAAGCTCTACCTCTGCAGGAAGAGAAGGATCTGGGATATACACTCGTGACGATACTGGAATCGGCAATATATCTTCTTCGTCATCATCGGGAACGGAATCTGAGTTGGGTTCGATACTTGTGTCTTGTCTTTCAACTTCCTCGTTCAAGATGATGTGATTATTGCGTTTGGGGTGCAGAACGACTAGTGCATCTATTGACAATCTTTGTTGAAGGCGGTTTAGGTGCGCATCTGATGACAATCGTTGTGCGTTAGCACCACCGGAGTCGACGGCTTCCTGAGAAACCTGCTGAATTTGTTGGTAAGCCTCAATATCTCGATCACTATGGCTTCTACTGCTTCATCTCGTTGTGCGTATTGCTTCAGCGAAATAACGGCAAAGGCCATGAAGTCTCAGCATGGCTGGCATAATGTGTCATGGATGGTGTTTTGATTTTCGAAGTTCACAGACGGGTTTGAGATGGTAGACTTGATGTTGCGATCGGTCATATCATTAGTCGTCTATTGGGCTTGTGGAGAATCGTAAGATATCGATAAACCAGGTCGTTGTTAGGCTAGACGTTGATATACATAAGATGCTATGTGGAGTTGTTTAGTGTAGCACTCTCCAACAAGGCATATTACAGTACGGCATCATGTATACAGCTCTTCAAGGGACAAACTTGATATTTACAAGTGATTGTTGAGCTACCGTATCCTGCCTGCGTATGAAAGATGTTAGTGCATAATTCACAATATGGAGCCCCATCATCGCCTGGACAACATCTAAAAACGCTTTATGTAGAATACACTTTTGCGGTACTCATGAATTATAGAAACAAATCATATTTTTGGTGTTCATTTTTGACAGTAAATATGAAGAAAGCTCCGCGGAAAGAGGAAACGTAGAAATACTGAGGTCTAGGACCGTCATCGTATGACCTCCCTCAATTTTACAACTTCTTGTCAGTATCTCATCCCATCCCAATGCACTCTCTCGAATCAATATTAAGCCTGTCCCCCATTGTGTAACCGTAGATTAATATTTAGGCCCTTCCCAATGTATAGTTAGTTACCAGTCAACAATGAACCTCTGCAAAATAAACCATACCAAATCAATATCTGACCCTCTTCTATTGTATCAGTCATACCAAACTTGCAATATCTTCCCATTTTCTGATCCTAATCCCAATATCAGACAACCTCCCATTGTACGACGCTTTCCGGGCAATTAGTCCCTCTCATTGAATACCCTCGGCTCAATACATGTCTCCCCATCATTATGCACCCTCACTCAAACTCCATATCCTCCTCACAGTCTCACTCATCACAAGGCAACGCAACTTTAGCCCTACACATCAGGCAAGTATTCTTCTTCTGAAGCCAAGTAGCAATACAAGAGCGACCGAAAACATGACCACATTCTGGCATTTTAGCTGGTGCATGACACTCCCCAGTAGCCGTTGTACAAGCATATGGTCCACCACAAAATCACCAATCAATTTCGTCCAGGTGTGTATGAACAGGGAGAAGGAGCTCCTCGATTGCGGCTTTGCGGATGTACCAGACTTCATTTCGGGAATAAGTGTCTTGGTATAGATCAAAGGTGTAGCTTTCTACGTTGATATGAGGGGGGTACAAACTAGGGGGAAGGGCAGGGAGGTCGGCCAAAGCAGCGTATAGCCCATCCATGTGGACTTGATTAGCAAGGCCTTGTTCGTTGTCTGAGACTAAGAGCTCCCGCTCCAGTTGTTCAATGGAGTTACTATGCATATCAGAAGACACTCTGATTACTAGTTGCCGTTCGCGATTCATTTGAGATTGGTAGACTGGTGGGAGAACCGATTCAACAGATTCAGGGGATGCGATGGGTTCAGACGATTCAGGGGATTCGGTGATATCTTGCGGAGGGTGGTAGGTAGAGACTCGTCTCTGATTGGGTCGGTTGCGTCTTCGTAGATCACCCAAGCGTCTAAAGGCGTCTCCAAGGGGCCCAGGAGTTGGCATGATTGCTGATAGACTTTATTTGGTAACGTAATAGTATGGTATCTACGTTTGATAGGAAATGGGCTGATTCGGAAGTAGAAACCTCGAAGATGGTGTTTTTATTCGAATTATCGAGAACAAAATATCACAAAACGAATTCTTAAGTAGTAGCGGAAGGATATATCGAAAATATGAGATACGGCATATCGGGATATGCAATTTGTCACGTCGCGAGATCTTGAACATACCTGTATTTATCATTGTATCAACAAACCGTACTGTATGGTGAGAACCAAAATGAAAACCATATGAATAAGGTATCAGTTCTCATTTCTAGATGATGGCTTTGTCCAATTTCTGTTCCCAGAACCATTCACTAAGGGGTTTGGATAATGGAGGCAGAATGAACCCTTGAAGTAAATTCTTCCCGTACAAAATGGCCAACCATACAGTAACTCGTGCAGTCTAATCACTTTAGAGCGTTCATGTCTACGAGCGAGTCATTCCAGAGTATAGCATGAAGTGTCTTCTACGAGTGAACTCGGGAGAAGAAGCAAAAACGGAACACTTGGGGAATTAAGAGTAAATATAGGTACTGGTGGCAGTCTATGAAGATAACGGTAATTCGAAAGGCGAAAAGATGGATTTAACGATGCAAGAATACTCCAAATAGGCTGAAGGTACGGTGGCGGTAGTGTAAATATACATCCCATTTCGATCGAGCAATGTTCTATCATGCCTAAGCTAACCAACGAGTTCAGCTTGATGGAGCGAAATTTAAAATTTGCGCGATACAATTGAGACAAACCATTCAGACGTTATGATATACTCCGTCACGGCCTACTACTGTACATTCGATTCTACCTTTGTCAAGATATATGCCGTTGCCAAGAGGCCTCGTTTGAACCATTTTCGGACAAACGCATTCACACTCAATCCACTCCCAGGCGTGTTCTTCTTGTAAAGATTGATGAGAACCACCGTCGAAATGAAAAGAACAAATGTCCTTTTCAACCATTTCTTCGCCATACCTTTGCGCGTGTATGTGATGTTCCAGTGTTTCCAAGTTGGAAACGAACAACGATAAAGATAATCGAGCTGGCTGTACCTGCGACTAATTAGTTTCTTCTACGGAAATGGGAATGGGAGACATACGGATAAGTGTTTGAATTCCAACCATCTTCGCGAAGGTACCAATTCTTCGCACGAGTGTCCGCCCACACCATCTTTGTCAAGGTGGACTGGATTTGAGCGGTCCATTTCATTTCCGCCTCTCTCTTCACCTCTACTTTGGTAACATCACCGTTGAGCAAAGGCTTGATAAAATTTAGAGCTTGTATTACCATACTCTCCGTGGTGAAAATAACGGACGTGTGGCCAGTGAAGCAGTTTGGACCAACCAAGGTGAAGAAGTTCGGGAATCCGTCCATTGCGGTCCCCATGTACATTTGGGGACCACCTCTCTGTTCAAACACATCCTGCAATGTTTGTCCTTCCTTGCCATGGACATTTAGCGGATGAAACCATTTCGTTGTTTGGAATCCGTTGGCAAGAACAATGACATCAGCAGGAATGATAGTTTTATTGGTTGGAGCAGAGCTTGTGATAGTCTCAGGTGGATAGTTACGACCAGGGCCTAAAGTCACGGTATTCTCTCCAACACTTTTCAATGGAAGTGTTGTCAGATCGACCTTCGGATCGTTTAGACATGAGTACCAGTTTGCATCCCAAATTCTCCTCTTACAGCCAATTCCATAGTTTGGGGTCAGGATCTCGTGATACTTTTCCGGAGCCCTGCTTCTCATGTAAGTCAAACACTCAGCTTCCAACTTCTTACGTTCTTTTTCGCCGAAGGAGCCGGGGCGAAATAATCGAAAATCATATTCAAGTACTGCGCCTAATGAATGGCGCATGAATTTATTGAAACCAGGGATGTAGGTATTCAACGCTGGCGACCATTTATTCCATATCGTTTCTCCAAATGGCGGGATGACTTTTGGTGAAACCCACGGTGGAGACTGCATCAGCTGAGTGACAGACTTCGCGCCATGTTCTGTCGCAAGTTTCGGCACAAGTTGAGCCGCACTGCAACCCGTTCCGATGACTATTACATTCTTGTCCTTGAGATCGACGTCATATCGCCAACGAGCAGAGTGAAAGATTTCTCCTTTAAAATTCTCTTTTCCTGGCATACTCTCAGGCCAAAGTTTTGGTTGAACTAAACCACCAACAGCACTGATCAGGATCTTACATCGAATCTTCTCTTCGTAGGTATATACAGCACTGTGGCCTTGTTCTTTGGCCTTGAGAGCTCGATCGTCTTCACTCAAATCTCCAGCCCCAACCATCAAGTGTTGTATTGTTACTTCCCAAACTTGTTCGGACTCAAGCCAGCGTGCTTCTTTGGCATCGGTATTGACTTGTATCTTATCCACAATCTGGTACTTTTCACAAACAGTCTGGAGGTATTTTACCATCTCTGGGCCTCCTGGGTGAAAAGATGTCCAGTCATATTTTGGACAGAATGAGAATGAATAGAATACTGAAGGACTGTTTCATCTATGGGTCAGCATGATTATATTGTCCAATATGATCCGAATCATCAGGGAACCTACATATCACAAGCAACCCCAGGGTATCGATTGATCCACCATGTCCCTCCAATTCCTGATTGTCTATCAAATATGCGGAACTGATCAAAACCTAAAACTTCCTTCAAACGACACCCCATAGCAATTCCTGATTCACCGGCACCAATAATAGCGACGGGATAGTATGTATATTCGTGGGCTTCATGATCTTTCCGAGCTATATTCCCATACTATATATGTATTCGATCAAGATTAGTGATTGCTATATTTCAATTATCAAAATATTCAAACAGGCATCCTCACGATAGAATTAGCATTAACTTTAGTCTGAGTAGACATCTTGAACTAGACACTCGATACCAGCCGAAGTCGCTGCTGAAAGTCTAGGGAATGGCTTCACTTAAGCTTCAACAACGAAGAATAGAACAAAGGCTTTCACTGGCACACGTAAATGATTTCTGGCGTGAGTTGATACTTTCGAACTTATAAGAGAGAAGTTTTGTGGTAGAGATTTAAGTTGACACTGCACCCAAGAATGATGCAAATGAAATTGAAAACGATATGAAAAGAGGAGCTCGACATTTGAAATCCATTTGGCTCTCGCGGGGGTGCCGATAAAGCTTCAGTGTCTAGCCAGCCACTGGATTCATACGACGCTCTGCTTCCATTTGGAGTTCTTGAACCGAGGTGCGGTATCGTCAGCTCTGATGCATACCCCTCCCTTACATAGCATGTCTGCCAGGTCGTGTAAAAGATTGCGTACAGAAGCAGCAAAGCACTTTGATGTGTGAGTAAATTTGAAAGAAAAAAAAACTTCTGGGAGCTACAGAATACATCACAAAAACTATATTTTATGAGTGAGTATTGAAGTAGTGAGTGTCAATATGGGAGAGAAGGTTCCAATGTTACTTTTTGATATAAATTAGATAATTAGTAAGTTCCTGCTATAACCTTACACCGAGTTTAATAACGTGTTTTCCAATCAAAAATCGTGATTTTTGATCTCTTTTATCTTTTCATCTCAATCTCAAAATAATTATTTTGATAATAATGTTATTTCAATAACG